ATTATTCCAAAGAATAAACGGGAAAAATCTCATGTTAGTACAAATTCTATGTCAACGATATCATTTTTAGATCAACTGCTCCGAAAATGGTTGCTGGCTTTGCTATAATAATGGTGAATCCCACTAAACTTTTAAAAATATCAAGGTGAATCCCACTAAACTGGTTGACAACGTGATCTCACTCTCTTATACATGGTGCATACATAGAGGCAATGATGTTTGTGAGAATTGGGCTGAATAGTGTGTATCCCCTTTTTCTTTTCTAGTTTCTTAATTCTCTTTTTGTATCTGTACTTAGTAATTTCTTTTCTGTCCCTTTGTAGCTCCTTGCTATATGGGCGTTGTCCTTTTATTTTAATGATATATACTGTTGTTGAGCTCTGTTTATGTGAGCTTCATATACATACCAATTACCTTCCCACCAACCTTTTGGTGTGATCACTACAATGATTCTCCATACTTAGCGGTCAATCCAGTCATTGATAACGACATATTGATATTGGAGTTGAACAAATGCTCATTTAATCATAGTTTATAATAATTCTCACTTTTTAACATTTGAGTTTGATTAAATTCATCTAAGAAACAATAACGGTGAAATCGAATGAATTGTTGTCTCTCAAAGAATATAGTAAAATTTAATAATTGCTGTCCCTAGAAAATATAATTTAATACTAAATTGCAAAAAGAAACACGTAGTTCTTTTATCAGCCGTCGTGCTCCCATGTAATCAATCATCCACCATATTCTTCCATTTTTAAGATATACAAATATAAGAAAATAATTCCAACACTTCGCACTGTAAAACGTCCAAACCAAATCACCAAAAATATAGCGATCCAAATCCTATTCAAAGATATACGACAACCACGACCATGGACATATTCTCCAACGTTGTCTTTCTATTCTGCATGGTGCTATCAATCGTCTTCGCCTCTGCTGATGCTGCTTATGGAGTTGCTAAGCTGCCGGAGGTTCCTCACAAGATGAAAGAGATGGAAATTCCAAAACCCATTGCAGTTCAAGGCCTAATATACTGTAAATCCGGCTCTAAATTCATTCCACTTAAGGGTATGTATCTCACAAGCTCATACATTTACATGCATCGTGCTAACTTAATGATAATAAACTTCATATGTTATATATTTTACATATTACAATTCAAAAAGACACGAACTGTGTTACAAATTTAACACTAATTTATGGATGGATTGCCTATTTTAATGCACACAGGAGCCACGGCAAGAATAACCTGTTTGGCAAGTAACCAAAAGGGATATGAATCAGCACCATTCTCCGTCTCAAGTTGCCCAGCTGATGATAAGGGCTACTTTTTAGCCAAACTGTCCACTCCTTCAACGAACTTCTTAAAGAATGCTCAGTGGGAGCTCAAAGAGTGCAAGGCCTTCCTGGAGAGCTCGCCATTGAAGGACTGCAAGGTTCCTTTGGATATTAATGGAGGGGTTAAGGGTGCTCATATTATTTCTTCTTCGTCTCATCGTCTCCTTAAAAATGCAAATCTCTATTCGCTCAAACCCTTTTTCTACACCAGTGATAAACCTCAGACAGTCTCCGATAACAAGAAATATTAAAAAGAGTGTTAATAGATTTACTCTTTCAATATTTGATGAATCATTTTTTCCAATTTTAAATGTACTTTAATTTGTTCTTATATTTCTTTTCATTTTGTTGTGATCGATTGTCTCAATTTAAATACAAATTCTTATTGTTCAGATTATAGCAAGAAATAAACAATGATAATCAAGATGCCGTTCTAATTTTGATGATATTGCTTGTCGTATACAAAATGAAAACATAAACATTTAATATTTAATATTTTAATAATTATAAACATTGTTCCTCTAATAGTAATATATAGATGAAGACTACAAGTTGATGCATATACACTAATTAACCACACAAATCATGCAATTGATGCAACTAAATAATTCAGAACGTAGATGTGGGCTCAAAAGTAGTTATAATTCCATAAATTCATGATAAAGCATTACTTTTTAAAGCTAAAAATAATTGGCTAAAAGGTGTATCATACATGGAAAAAATGAAAATTAGGTTATCATCAATACATGAGAAATATTGAGAAATCCCAATATAATCAAGATATTGCTATTAAAAAAAAGGTACAACTGAAGATATCATATGCCTGAAGTTAGGTACTCCAACAATTTATAAAATATGAAAAAAAAAAAAAAAAAAAAAAAAAAAAAGATGCTACAACAAAATTACTTCAAGTTCAAACAAACCAAAATCGGATTGCAACATGTGGTTCATGTAAGACTCAAAAATCCCAACCTAATGTTAGTTAAGTGTTAAATGTTGTTAGTATTTCACAACTGACATCTCACATGGTTCTTTTGGTTGGAACAGGTTGACGTTGGCCGTTCAGGTACTACAATCACCACTAGAAAAATTGTCTTTAAACATGCATTGTGTGTCATAAAGGGGTCAGATGACACGTAAATGTGTGTCATTGAAGTTCATGTCATAAAGGAAGACGACACGCATTTGCATCTCGTAGCCTTACACTGCACATTTATAACACGCATTTACGACAAGCACTGCATGTTATTAAAGTCTCTGTCATAAAAAAAGACGACCCATATTTTTGTGTGTCATAATTTTAAATGTAAATTTTTTTTTTATAGATTTACTAATTTTCAGATTAAATGTATAATAACAAAAAATAATATATTATACAAAAAATAGACAATTCCTTTCACAATATATAATATGTCAAATACAAATAATCAATACAATGCTAAATAAATATAATACATTGCTATTAAGGGGCTCTAATAGTACATTGACATTAAGGGGTTTTCCCTAACTATATAATATGATAGTACATTGCTATAACATGCTCTAAGATAAAGTTGGTTGCCCGTGATTACCATCATGGATCTTATTCCTACTCAAAAGATAAAGATAAACATAAAACATATTTATCAAGTTTCTAGAGCATATATATTCCAACTTAAGATAAATATTTAGTAAAATATACCATAACATCCTAGACCATAAAGTGTTGTCACCAACTAAACTGTCACTCCAAAGATCACAGGCTACACACAAGTATACAGCCAAAATACTTACCAATCGACTAATAAACTTCCCCCTCTGTTGCTAAAAGAACAAATGGATATAACATCAAATGAACTTTGAAGAGATGATATATCAGAACTAGTCCATGTTTTACCTTGTTTCGTCCTTTGGGAGGGACATAAAAATGACATTTTTGTCGTGATGCGACCTCATTCTGTTACTCCTGGTTGAAGGTGCTTTCTGCTCTGCTATAGTCTACGAGATCACAAGAGGAAATAAGGTTGCTTGCCGTTCTCTAGGAGGGGGTCCCGAGAAAACGCTCTGACGGTCAAGTTAATGGATTATCTGAGAGTGAGTGTAAGAGTCTGAGGTAGATAGCTTACTTTCCCGAGTGGTAGAGGAGACATTTTATACTGAGGGTCTCCCACTAGTTCGTACATGGGACAAGGGCATCAGACCCGACAGGATCGATCGTGCTGATTAGGCAATCATGCTCCTCGTTTTGTTAGAACTATTGATTGGCTCATGTGGTAATGCTCTGACCTTACTCGTTATCATTTGTAGCCACTGGGTTTTTCATGGAGAAGAGAGTCTTATGGAATCGACTCCTATGTGGGCGTTCTGCTGGATAGACGCGTGCGGGCGCGAGGCATTGCTGGAGTGGCAATGGTTTAAGGCGTCTCAGCCATGCGGATGGTCTATTGGTGTTCTCTAGCGTGACTCTTGGCCTGTGCCAGGGGGCATGCTATCAAGTCCTCCAGTCTAGTAGTCATAGTGTTTATAGTATACTAGCTATGATGTTTTGTACTTAACTACTTCTGCATGTGTCGCCTTGGGGTGTGCCAAACGCTTCAGTTTTTACGGCAATGTGACTGTCTGCTATACTTGTCGGTTATGGAAACTTTGTCAGGGATTTTGAATATCTTTCGCCTTTCTTCTCATTATAAAACTTTTCCCCCTTTCCTTTTATAGTGTTATGCGTTTTCTAAACCCTTCCATCTTCTTCTTTCAAATTTCTTTCCTTCTCATGGCCAACCGTCCCGGCATTGCTCCTACTGTTGCTGAGTTTGTAACTCTCTAGGAGGCTTACGGTCTTTATCTAATCGATGGGGTAGAGTTTTCGTCTTCTGACACGATGATCCTATTGCCTCCTCTTGGGAAAGTCGCTTTCTATCTGAAGACCTTTGATGTTGGACTCCATCTTCCCCTACTGACTTGCAAGATGAACTTCTTCAAAAGCACAGTTGTAGTCTCCAGATGCTTACTTTAAACGTTGTGAATAATATGGTGGTCACGTCCTTGTTCCATATGGTAAAACCCTAAAACTAGTAGGACAAGTGGTTGTGGGTTAACCAGGAGTGAGTCAGTCATGGGTATCGTTAGGCGAATAACAACTCTGATGAGGTTCTCCCATAACCGGGTTGTCACCGACTTCTTTCCAAGCATAATAAATTTTATACATTAAATAAATAAATAAATAAAAGTATAAATGGATTGCTTTATCATTTCTTTGAATTGCAAATAAATCTCCTAAAAACTTCACACTTTAATGTTTTCAACCCAATTTACAGTTTTAATGTTTTCAACCCCCAAAATTAAAATTTTCAATTTAATTTTTCACCAACTTCTTATTTAATTACAAAAAGACGTTTTTAATAAAACTCATAATATTCAAATACTACACATTAAATCACACATTCAACATTACACGCACACAAAACATTATCTCCCTCACATTCTATCTCATTTCATCAAAGAAAAATGTCTTCATCTCACCCAAACAAGACCCCAAGAAACAACAAAGAAAAATCTTTAAACCTCCCATCACTAAACCTTCCATCTCCAAATACTCAATTACCAAACCTTTCATCACCAAAATGTTATTTCCTTCATTTGATCAACTTATTCACTCACCCGTTAGCTACTAATTTCCATCTATGGCTCCACAAATGCATCAATTCAATCTGTATGCTTCTCAACCCATCCATTTTTACCAAAACCAATCCCAAACAATACCTCGTCCAAATTTGGATCTTGATCCGTTTGAGACAGTTCAAGAAACTCAATTCTTTTCACAAGCTCAACCCCAAAGTAATTTTCAATGCCAACCACACCGCCTACTTAATGAGTCAACTGATTCATCTGATGAAGGACCTGTTGAAGAATCATTTCAAGAGCTCCAAGCAAAGGGAAAAAGGAAGAATCCAAGCAAAGGGAAGGCTCAATGCAAGGGGTGGATAGGTGATGAAGACACTGCACTAGTGCAAGCATGGCTACATGTGCCGGAGGATCCAGTGACGGAAAACGACCAAAATTCGACGACCTTCAAAGCTAGAGTTTGGCATAATTTCTGGCACCGAACGAAAAGGCAGTACTACAATCCTGATCAACTTTACTCCAAATGGAGGATTGCCAACAAAGCCACAATGGAGTTTAACAACATCTACATGAATGCGATCCGCAACGCCCAAAGTGGTGCAAATGAGGTGGATGTGTTAGAAAATTTTTGTAATATTTACAAGGCCAAAGTCGGAAAACCTTTTGGTAATGAGGCATTTTGAGAAGTTATTAAAGGGAAACCAAAATTGCATAATCTAAGAAGTGCTGATGATTACGTGGGTGCTTCCAAACGAAGCAAAACTTCCAATACCACTCACGGTAACACTTATGATGCACGTATCGGAGGGATTGAACTCAACAACTATAATCATGGGATGTTAGGAAGTTTATATTACATGTATTGGAAATGGAGTATGTATCCTAATGCATATCATGGACAATACACAAAGGGCAATTATTATTATCCTACGGTCGTGTTTGAAGTTGTAGCCTCACAAGATTTGTGGATCTGGAATGCCTTTTTAGGTAGTTCCGGTTCACTTAATGATATTAATATTCTCAACAACGCACAATTATTCAACAAGGTGTATGACAGTACTGCCCTAGATTCGTTATTTGTACTCCGAGGAACAGAATAAAAATTTGGGTATTAGCTTATGAATGGGATTTATCCTGAACATTATGATTTTGTTAAAAGTTTCTCATATTCAGACGACCCTTAAAGGTCTAAATTTAAGAGAGTCCAAGAAAAAGAAAGAAAATATATGCAACGAGCGTTTGGAGCACTTTAAAAGAGTTGGCGGATAGTTACAAAAGCATCCATGTTTCGTGATATTTCTACTATGACAAAAGTGATGTATACATGTATCATATTGCATAATATGATAATAGAACATGAAGGAAATGCGATATGTGTGTACAACGAGAATGAAGTCATCCCAGATACACAACTACTAGAATATGGTGGTCAAGAATGGATACAAATAATGAGGATAATTCATAGTTCAGTAATCCATACCGATCTTCGCCGTCATTTTACCGAGCATCTTTCGACGATGGACAATCTTAATCTAAGTATGCCCCCCGAAGGCCATTATTCGGAGGAAGACCCAATGCTTTAGTGTGTTTTTTTTTTTTTTTGTGAAATGTGTTTTAGTTATGAAGTTTATTTTTTTTTATATATTAAATCGTGCTTTAGGTCATAAGTAGTATTAAATCGTGCTTTAAGTTATTGTAATCATTTTTATTTAATATGAAGTGTGTGCCGTTAAAAAAAATTATGTCATATTAATTAATAAAAAAATGCTTGTGTAATATTAAAAAAAAATTGTATAATATTACATAAAAAAAATTGTTTATTAAAAAAAAGTAATTAAAATAAATTAGAAAAAACTCTTAAAAAGGTATTTTGTATAATATTAAATAAAAAATATGTATTCATTAAAATAAAGTAACTAAATTAAATTAAAAACTAAAATAAAACAAATGGAGTCTTAGGAGTGTTATCACTCTTTACCAAATGTTAAGATTAAGTGTTAAATAGAAAAAAAAAAATGAGGTGGCATTCAAAAAACTGATGTAACAATGTGTTAGGAGTGTTACCACTCCCTTTAGCCTAAGAATATCAAATAAAAAACAAAAATTAAATATTTTAATAATTATTATTATCATGTAGTAATATACTATTTTATTATACCAAAACCATATAATACAATCTGATTTTTAGAAAGTTACACACCAGTTTCTTTATAGGATTATTGTCACTGTAGCCAAACAAACTTTAATATATTAATTTAAATGATCTCTTTTTTGGTAGTTTAGGGGCATAAAGTTTATTTTTACCTACTAAAAAAGGCTCAAGACTTGTTATTACCGGTATCGTTGATGACGTGGTTTTTTTTTTCGCAAGTTATAAGAATTAAACTAAAATCCACCTCACAAATTATCCATCCACTGAAACATAATATATTGGTTTAAATGGTCCACAGTCTCTTATTACTTTTTTTTTAACGACTCTTCAACCTCCATTCAACATTTCCGGAGCCCACCACCACTAAGCCTCTACCCCTCTTACTCAAAAGTCGGAAACCACCGTCGTCCACTATCTTCCCCTCTATTTCCTGATCACCATCTCTGACTCTCTCTCTCCTCTCTCTCTCTCACACACACACACACCTACAATCGACGACGAATCTCTCGGGAGAACCTGCAAGTCACTGAAACTCTGCCGAAGGAACCTGCAAACGACTATCAATTTAGGCAACTATTTTCTACCATTGAAAATCTGCAATCAAGGAATCATTAAGATTTGCAATCAGATGACCTATTTGAGAAATCGATAAATACCTAAAAGTTAAATTGAAATAAGCACATTTTCTCTCAATGATGTTATGGCCTTTAGAAATGGAAGTCTGTATAGATATTATCATCAGAATAAGAATGAAATCAACAGTGGTTCTTTCCGATTCAAAGATGCAATTCATTCAAGCACTTGAAGATGAGTTGGGAATCCAGATGAAGAAGCAAAGTTGTGTCGTTTGGAGTTTTTCCAAATGTGGGGTTCTTCTCGTGAATGGATTGAAAGGTTAGGTGGATAAATTAGCCCCTTAAACAAAATCTACTCAAACAATTAAAATACCTGCACCATATCATAACATTCTCTTCTTCCTTCATCCTCTTTGACTTATTGCAACCAAAATCCTATTCTTCCCGTCCGACCCTTTTCCGTCATCTTGCTCTGCCACAAAACTCAGTAGGTTCGCCTCATAAACAACCAGTTGCTCCGACGTCATATCGTGTACAAAATTTGTACCTTCGACTTAATGATTCTCCAGATCTAACCTCAAAGCCTCATCATTGCTACCAAATTGAGCTTGAACATGTTCTTTATTAAGCTTGGCATAGATCCGTTCAACCAGTTGCTCTGGCTTCATATGGTGTATAGGATCTGCAGCTTCGACTTCATGATCGTTGTTAAGCTCTCTGGTATTTTCTTCGTCTTGTGATTCCACTTATGGCTCAAGAGCGGTATTTCTGAACTTTCAACCATCATCTTCTTAAGATTCTTTTATAGTTTCACTTGAGGTTTTAGATTTTACAAATGTTAATGAATCAAGCTTCTCTTGAAAACCGACAAGCTCTTTTGCCACCGATTTCCTAACATCTCTCACAATCGGTTGCAAACCCTGATGAATTGCATATCAAAGAACGAAATTATGATTCCAAAAACAAAAAAAAAATACAATTGAGAAGATGAATAAATGAAGGTGTACCTGAATGGTATCTAGCTTTAAGAGAAGACTCATTACACGTGGAAATTGAGTTGGCATCTAAACATGCAAATTAGGATGGGTGTCATCGGATGACCCCTTCAAATTTACTAAAAGGACTTTTTAAAACATAAAAATACAATTTTGTGCCCTTCAAATGTAAAAAATAGTCATGAGGGACCATTTAAACCAATATACTAAAAAATTTTGGGCTACAGTGACAATATCCCTTCTTTATGTGAACATTTATCGAAAACTAATAAAAGAAACCGACATATGAGTTAACTCAAGTACACACTAGTTTCTATTACATAGTTTTACTTTCCATGGCATTATAGTTGGAAGATTCTACCCAATTATAACAATGAAAATTGCTTTATATTAGAAAGAATTGCAATAACTTTCCAGACTTTCTACAGTACAATGTTATAAAGGAAAAATGATACAATGACACTATAATATAAAAATCAATAAAAGTACATTGCTATTTCTTGCATTTAACTCTAATGTAACACCTAGACATAGGAAAGTTGGTTCAAGGATGGTATACTTGCAAAACTTTCAAAAGTACGAGTGTTATCGATCACATGTGAGAGTTAACTCAAGTGTAGATTTTGACAGTACAATGTGAGCTACTTAGTGGTAATAGTTACAAATAGACAAAACTTTGATCATAGAAAACAATAATTCCAAATTCTACAGCAAAAAGAATAATAAAAATCCATATCAAACCACATACAAGTAAAATTAAACCAAACAATAACACCACAAAACAAACATTCTATTACAAGTATGGATGAGATTTAAAACCGCAAAACCAGACTGGAATCGTCAAAACCGTCAAAATCGGAATATGTAGAACCAGTCCGGTTTTCGGATTTAAAGAATATATTTATTCGGGTTCCAGGTAACTGAGGTTTAAGAACTGGAACTGGTAATAGGAATCGGAACCGGTTATAAGGTCGAAACCGGTTTCTCTGGAAAAAAAAATTTGGGCTACAGTGACAATATACCTTCTTTATATGAACATTTATCGAAAACTAATAAAAGAAACCGACATATGAGTTAACTCAAGTACACACTAGTTTCTATTACATAGTTTTACTTTCCATGGCATTATAGTTGGAAGATTCTACCCAATTATAAAAATGAAAATTGCTTTATATTAGAAAGAATTGCAATAACTTTCCATACTTTCTACAGTACAATGTTATAAAGGAAAAATGATACAATGACACTATAATATACAAATCAATAAAAGTACATTGCTATTTCTTGCATTTAACTCTAATGTAACACCTAGACATAGGAAAGTTGGTTCAAGGATGGTATACTTGCAAAACTTTCAAAAGTACGAGTGTTATCGATCACATGTGAGAGTTAACTCAAGTGTAGATTTTGACAGTACAATGTGAGCTACTTAGTGGTAATAGTTACAAATAGACAAAACTTTGATCATAGAAAACAATAATTCCAAATTCTATAGTAAAAAGAATAATAAAAATCCATATCAAACCACATACAAGTAAAATTAAACCAAACAATAACACCACAAAACAAACATTCTATTACAAGTATGGATGAGATTTAAAACCGGAAAACCAGACTGGAATCGTCAAAACCATCAGAATCGGAATATGTAGAACGAGTCCGGTTTTCGGGTTTAAAGAATATATTTATTCGGGTTCCAGGTAACGGAGGTTTAAGAACTGGAACTGGTAATAGGAATCGGAACCGGTTATAAGGTCGAAACCGGTTTCTCTGAAAAGTTTAGACTATATTTTTGTAATTTTTCGCCCCATATTCATTGACTTACAGTCCCTCAAAGTCGGGAAATCAAAGCTGGAAATTTTTTGTTTTTCAGTTTCTTTTTTTTATTGTGTGGAAGTTTTAAAACATGCATATCTACCTCATTTAAAGTTGGATTAGCATGCGGTTTTTTTCCAACGTGTATTTTAGAGTTTTTACATGATCTTAGACTATAATTTTGTCATTTTTGGTTTCATATTCCTTGACTTACAGTCCCCAAAAATTAGGAAAGCAAAGCTAAAAAATTTCTAGTTTTTTTTAGCTTTCTTTGGTATTCTGTGAAATTTTAAAACATGCATATCTTATTTTATTTTTTTTGAAGTCGGATTAACATTAGGGCTTTTCCAATTTGTTTCTACATGCTAATGAATCGGGTCTATTGTTCGATGCTCGATCGATTAGTCATTGTTTTTATTGATGATATCTTGGTGTATTCTAAGACCAGAGAACAACATACGGAGCACATTCGAGAGCTTATGGGAGTTTTGAGGCGAGAATGGTTATATGCCAAGTTCTCGAAGTTTAAGTTTTACGAGATCTTGGTCGATCCCGCCAAGATTGAGGCTGTGATGCAGTAGGAGGTTCTGAAGTCTCCCTTAGAGATAAGGAGTTTCTTGGGATTAGTGGGGATTTATCGGAGATCTAGTTGTTGGGGACCTGAGCAGCGGGCCACATTCGAGACTTTAAGGTGGAAGTTATGTGAGGCCCTAGTGTTGACCCTCCCTAAGGGTGTTGACGATTTTGTGGTATTTTGTGATACATCCATCACAGGCCAGGGGGCAGTTCTTATGCAGCGAGGCAGGATTATTGCTTATGATTCCTAACAAATGAAGTTGCATGAGGTTCCTTATTCGAATCGTGATTTGGAGTTAGGTGCAGTGGTGTTTGCTCTCATGATTTGGCGGCATTATTTTTATGGGGTCTGGTGTACTATCTACACGGATCACAAGAGTTTGAGATATCTCATGGATCAGCCGAATCTGAACATAAGACACCATAGATGGTTTGACGTGGTCAAGGATTATGACTGTGAGATTATGTATCATCTGGGGAAAGCGAATGTGATCGTTGATGCTTTAAGCCGCAATATGGCTAGTTCTGCTATTGAGAGCATATATATATATATATATATATATATATATATATATATATATATATATATATATATAAGGATCTCTATTGATTCGTCATTGTTGGATTTGATTAGGGAGGCTCAAGTTGAGGGATTCAAGAAGGAGGGTTGAAAAAAGGAGAGGCTTAGGGGTGAGATTGGCAAGTTTATTACTAACACTCGTGAATTCTTAACCTGAGATGGTTGGGTTTGGGTGCCAGAATTTGGTGGGATCATGCTAACTATGTTAGAGGAGGCACACAAGTCTGTATTTTTAATACACCCTGGAGCCACCAAGATGTATCTAGATTTGAGACTTAGTTACTGGTGGTTATGCATGAAGAGAGAGATAGCCTAGTATGTCGATAGGTGCTTGACCTTTCGGATGGTCAAGGTCGAGCACCAGAGGTCTCATGGCAAGTTGCAGCCATTGGAGGTTCCCATATGAAAATGGGAACATATTACTATGGATTTCATCGCCAAGTTACCTTGGACAGCTAAGGGATTTGAAACGATATGGGTTATAGTGGTCCTTCTGACCAAGAGCACCCACTTTCTAGCCATTCGATAGAGTTCTGCCGTAGAGAAATTGGTCGATTTATATTTACTCAATATTGTTGCTTGGCATGGTATTCTAGTTTCTATTGTATATGATCGAGATGTTAGGTCACTTCTCGTTTTTCGCAGAAGTTCCATGAGGAACTGGGTACGAGGTTGCATCTTAGCATTACTTATCATTGGCAGAATGACAGACAGAGTGAATGGACCATTCGAACAATTGAGGACATGTTAAGAGCTTGTGTCATATATTTCGATGGGATTTGGGACTCTTAACTTCCCTTAGCTGATTTTTCTTACAAAAAAAGCTATCACTCCAGTCTCTGTGCGCCGCCATTCGATCTCTTCTATGGGAGGAAGTGTCGTGCCCTAGTTTGTTGGGGAGAGATTGGTCATATAGTCATGGGAAGGACTGAGGTAGTCCTTCAAGCGACAGATCTTATTCAGAAGATTAGACAGAGACTACATATAGCTCAGAGTCGGTAGAAGAGTTATGCTGATAAGCGTCGATCTGAGTTAGAGTTCCATGTTAGGGACATGATTTTGCTAAAGGTATTACCCTAGAAAGGTGTAATACACTTCGGGAAGAGGATCAAGTTGGTGCCCCGGTATAGTGGGGCCGTTTGAGTGATTGTTAGGGTTGGTAAGGTAGCTTACAGGCTGGATATGCCTGAGGATCTCAGTCGGATTCACAGTACCTTTTATGTTTCTCAGCTTTGGAAGTGTGTGGCTGATAATTCAGCGGTTGTTCCTTTGGAGGATATTTAGGTTGATGATCGCCTGAATTATGTGGAGAGACTAGTGGCGATTTTGGATTGGAAGATGAAGGCCTTGTGCAACAAGGTGGTGTCTTTGGTCAAGGTTCAGTGGCAACTTTGAAAAGGTTCCAAATGGACTTGGGAATCCGAGATGGAGATGCGAGAGCATTACCTTGAGTTTTTCACGGCATCGGACTTCGAGGATGAAGTCTAGCTCAAGTGGGGGAGAATTGTAACATCTCAATTTCTAGATATTTACCTTTTACCCCCATTTGTATGAGAACTGTTTGCAAATTGGACCATAATGGTATTTTTGTAATTTTAGGGGTTGCGTAAGTACACTGGGTGTATATGCTAGTACGTTGGGCCTACATGGATTTACTTAAGTACATTGAGCGTACATTGCATACGCAACCAGGGTGCAAACCCTGATTTTTAGGGTTTGCCCCCTATTTAAACATCCTTAACTCTCAATACTTCTCCTTTCATCAGCCTCCAAGCCCCATTTCAACCCCTTTGCAATCCTTAATCCATTTGAGAGAATTTTGACCCATTAGTGTGTGTTTTGGTGATCTTGAAGGAGGAAGAAATAAGAGAAGACCATCTTAGAAGAGTGGAGCACTTTGGATCCACAATCACATCATCATTTGACACCATTTGGAGGTAAAAAGAGTTGAACTTGATGAAGTTCTGATTAGATCTTTTTATTCATGGATTTGTGTTCATTTTGGTCCCATAAGCTTGGTATTATGAGGATAGGTTACTCTAATTCATATGAGTTGTCCTTTCAAACATTTTTG